ATAAGCATAGCATATGCGGCAAGAAAAATAAAAAAAGTGATACAGGAAACCACAAGGTCCAGGTCGAGTCCTAGTCTAAATATCTGGTACGATAAAAGGAAAAACTGAAAGATGATTTCAGATACTTCACATACAACATAGAGAACACAGGATCATGTACTATACCCAGTCATCTTAGCAAAGCAATAATTCTTGATAAAGAGATTGGAAACATTAAGAACTTAGATTCACAGGTGAGATCAAATCACACTCTCAAGACTCAGACCAAGTAACCTGATCGCTCAATGAAGAAGCTATGTAATCCAAAATGCATCTCTTAAGAGCTTTTCATTTAACACAAAGAGTTCACTTTATAAAAATAACAAATATAAGTAAAGAAATGAAGAAAATTCAAGATGGTGTGGCTTGATTACTAGTGCAAAGCACAACAACCCATATAGAGACCAGCTCACGCATCGGTAAACCTGTCTTCAACTCCTTGAGCTGATCAACTTTACATCCAGGGCAATTCTCATGGTAATCCTTCTTCAACAGCGTCTGTCTAGGCTCGTCCGCCATGCTTAAATGAGTTCTTATTGAGCTGAACCCGAATCCAGCGTTTGTTTTAATGTTAAATAGAACCCACATATTTCACAGATGCAATTTGGTCAGACATGCATCATTTCACACTTGCAGACGTCACTGTGATTGAAAATGACAATGCAGTAGTTTGCACTAGAACATGTGCAAGAAAAATAAAATATTAATTGATTAATTAAAAGACCAAATGATCGCTAAGAACGGACCCAATGCAAAAGGCTGATGATGAGTCGTCCAAGTAGGAATTGATTTCCGACCTGGAAACTCTAATTCGTTATTCTATTGTTCATGTTTCACATTGCTGGCTGGTTACGTACATTGATTTGCAACACTACAAAAAAACTGATTCACTTCCTCCACGTGAAAATGGAAAAAGAAAGACACCGCAGCGCAGACAGAAGATATAGTAACAAAAACAAGTTGAATCGCCATCGTGATCTAATTATAAGAATTATAAAAAGTTGTAGTTCCAACTTACCTGAATTTTCTTGTATGGACGAATTATTATTTCGTCCAATTGTCGTTTCCTTTGCCAAATTCTTTTATCTTGAAACTCAGGATTGTGATTTTTGTTTTTTTTTTATTAATCTTCTGTTATTTGATAACCACGTTAAGTTTCGATTAATCCAAAATCGAAACGTATCGAACACATTAGAGAGAAGCTCTCGCTTTTTGTTTTGGACATTTGAGACTCAGGATGG